AAGTGCATAAAACCATCAGAAAACTCACCTCTGATACTTGGAACACTTGGTGCAAACCATGGACTGACAGTAACTTGAAACTTGGAAAAAGGTGTCTAGGAGCGCTTCCTGGACTAAATTTGAATTTGTCTGAGGTGCTCAAACATACAGACACAAAAATCACAAGAACACTCCAAGGCACTCTCTCTTTTAAACCATAGGCCTTTATTATCACATCATAGTAAAGTTAGACCTAACAACTAACTCTGATGTATCAAGCAGTCAAACATTTGTTGTTGACGTCACAATGACAGTAAAGGCATTTTAATTTTTTTTAAAAAGTGCCTTGGAATAACTAGAAAGTTTGGCTTACAATTTGGATTTACAATACTAAGGACTGGGTGAAGGTGGCAAATGTAACCCTGCCTCCGTTAAGGTATTCAGAAAGATGGGTGTGAGCAGGTGTAGTGTGACAGAATATCTGTATCTTTGGACGGAGTGTTTGACACTGATGATTTAAGAGTCAAGATAAGAAGCCGCAAAAGAGCAATATTTATAAGACGCTCAATAGTAAGAAATAAAAATGCTTCACTAAAGGTCTGTTTGACCCTGACAGTTGCATCTAATAATATGTATGCAAGACCGTGCAGTAGTTTCACAACTCTGTCTTCCCTGTGGCAGCCAAGATAGCTTTCAACTATCCTTAATTGAAGACTTGTGACAGTAACCACATTTCACATAAATGCTGGGCTGTGGATAATTGAAAGTCCTTTAAGTACGTCTAATAAATTGTCTTTGTTATTAGCATACACTCAAGGCAAAAGCCTCAATAATTAAGGCAGAAAGTATTCATTAATTCTAATTTTATGTGACAGATCATAGCCTTGTAAGGTTTCCCCACAACATTCAATATGCGTGTAGTAGCAGGGTTTAATTTCCTGTGCATTCATTTTATTGAAAGAAAATATCAGCACTATCAACTATATTTCACTTTAGTGATTTCCTGTCCTATCTGTTTCATTTTTACGCTCCTCTGATGGCATATATTACATTCCCATTTGACAGATATTTTGTAGATGGTTATTGTAATATTGGACTTCAATCAAGATGTAACTAGCTAGCTAACTATTGATATCTATAAGCTAGTTAGTTAGTGTTTTGCTAACATTAGCTAGCTAACTTAAGATGTGACTATATGTTCACACTTTTAGCTTTGAAGTATTTAAAAAAACATGGTTGTGTTTTTAACATATGAAAGCCTAGCACATAGGATAAAGCTTATGCTTGCTCAACTGTTATTGGAGCACAGAGAAAAGGGGCGGGACCTAGGAAGGGTGAATTTGTAGGCATTGTTTATGCAAATTATGCTCCTTCTCTGACTACTAGTTTTAAGTCTGCTTGTTATTCATCAAGTATAAGATGAACATCCACCTCAGAGTTCTAAGGAACTAAACTCATTATGGTACTTTTGCCTTTAAACCAACCTGTTGATCGTTATTTTCTTCATGCATGTCCTCAGACTCCAGCAGAGGGAGCATCCATATCCATCTATGCTGCAACTGCCTCTGAAATGGAGGGCGTGGGGGGCTGTTATCTGTACAACGGCGAGAAGAGGCAGTCCTCCGACATCTCCTACGACTCTGAGCTACAAGCCGAGATGTGGAAGAAGAGCTGCGAGCTAGTAGGCCTTTAGGAGGCCTGACCCGCCCTGCTGTTAACCCTCACACAGGGATAGCTCTACATCTTCCAGAGTCATCTGAGAGACGGTATCTGGAGCTCACTAATGATATTGAACCACTGTTTCACTTTACATTGTCCCAACCTGGATCTCCATGCTCACCCATAATCCTGTGCCATCGAGCAGTCGGGCACTTGTTGTTCTTAAAGGCACTGAACCAGACTTTAATCTGGGTATCATGCCAAGTGTTTTATCGTAGTGCAGTTTTGTTGTGTTAAATAAATACAGACAATTTGATCATATGAGCAACCTAAATGCCTTAGCGGTGCCTATTTAAGCCTACAAACATATTGAATTTTTTTATATATATATATATTGGCACGGAATCCATTTGTTTCCATATTTGTGATAAGTAATGTGTGTAAATTGTATAGAATTCTACAAAAGAAATGCAGATTTTTCACTGGGACACTTTGTTTTTGTTGTACTAAAAACATAATGATATTATGGAAATTAAGTTTTCATAGTTTGTTTCTAAGCCAAAAAGAATTCCAAACTGACTCAACCAGATCTAAATGTTAAAAAATAAAACAATTGTAGTGCAATACTAATGGCTTTAGCTTTAGTTAACAATCCAAAATGTTTGCTAAAAGCAAACCAAGTTGGAGCCAATTGTTAGACATTATAATTACATATCTTCTCCTTATTGTGACATTTAAGGATAAGGCTGGCAAAAGTCTGTGTTTTTTGTCATTAATTCCATGAAAAGAACAAAACCAACAATGAGTCCCACGTGCACCGTCCTGCTACTGGAAATACCAAATGTTCATTAATCCACCGCTGAAAATAGTCCCCAACAAAAACATAATTTCCTCCTGTTTGAGTAACATTTGATTAAAAACCACAGTGAGCAGCTGTTTAAGAAAATGACTGAGCCTTTATACAAAATTAAACTATTTGTGAATTGGTTTTTTTACAGATTCACATCATCAGTAAGAACCAATGGAGCCACAGACAGGAAGTCAGAAAGTATTGAGGCTATAGGATTTGTTGACCGTAACGAAAATATAGAATTAATCCAGCCTTATCCTTTAAAGCTGGGGTTGGTAATCTTGGAAAGCTAGCGAGAGAGCTAGCAAGGTTTGAAAATAGCTCCGCC